TTTCCATCACCCCGCCCAATTCTCCCGCTTTCCATCACCCCGCCCCATTCTCCCTCCTTCCATCACCCCGCCCCAGTCTCCCTCTTTCCATCACCCCGCCCCAATCTCCCGCTTTCCATCACCCCGCCCCATTCTCCCACTTTCCATCACCTCGCCCCATTCTCCCGCTTTCCATCGTCCCGCCCCATTCTCCCGCTTTCCATCACCCCGTGCCCCATTCTCCCGCTTTCCATCACCCCGCCCCATTCTCCCGCTTTCCATCACCCCGCCCCATTCTCCTGCTTTCCATCACCCCGCCCCATTCTCCCGCTTTCCATCACCCCGCCCATTCTCCCGCTTTCCATCACCCCGCCCCATTCTCCCGCTTTCCATCACCCCGCCCCATTCTCCCGCTTTCCATCACCCCACCCCATTCTCTCGCTTTCCATCACCCCGCCCCATTCTCCCGCTTTCCATCATCCCGCCCAATTCTCCCGCTTTCCATCACCCCGCCCCATTCTCCCTCCTTCCATCACCCCGTCTCATTCTCCCGCTTTCCATCACCCCGCCCCATTCTCCCACTTTCCATCACCCCGCCCCATTCTCCAGCTTTCCATCACCCCGACCCATTCTCCCGCTTTCCATCACCCCGCCCCATTTTCCCACTATTCATCACCCCGCCCCATTCTCCTGCTTTCCATCACCCGCCCCATTCTCCCTCCTTCCATCACCCCGCCCCATTCTCCCTCCTTCAATCACCCCGCCCCATTCTCCCGCTTTCTATCACCCCGCCCCATTCTCCCGCTTTCCATCACCCCGCCCCATTGTCCCTCCTTCCATCACCCCGCCCCATTCTCCCTCCTTCCTTCATCCCGCCCCATTCTCCCTCCTTCCATCACCCCGCCCCATTCTTCCGCTTTCTACACCCCACCCCATTCTCCCGCTTTCCATCACCCCGCCCCATTCTCCCGCTTTCCATCACCCCGCCCCATTCTCCCGCTTTCCATCACCCCGCCCCATTCTCCCGCTTTCCATCACCCCGCCCCATTCTCCCGCTTTCCATCACCCCGCCCCATTCTCCCGCTTTCCATCACCCCGCCCCATTCTCCCGCTTTCCATCACCCCGCCCCATTCTCCCGCTTTCCATCACCCCGCCCCATTCTCCCGCTTTCCATCACCCCGCCCCATTCTCCCGCTTTCCATCACCCCGCCCCATTCTCCCTCTTTCCATCACCCCGCCCCATTCTCCCGCTTTCCATCACCCCGCCCCATTCTCCCGCTTTCCATCACCCCGCCCCATTCTCCCGCTTTCCATCACCCCGCCCCATTCTCCCTCCTTCCATCACCCCGCCCCATTCTCCCGCTTTCCATCACCCCGCCCCATTCTCCCGCCTTCCATCACCCCGCCCCATTCTCCCTCCTTCCATCACCCCGCCCCATTCTCCCGCTTTCCATCACCCCGCCCCATTCTCCCGCTTTCCATCACCCTGCACCATTCTCCCGCTTTCCATCACCCCGCCCCATTCTCCCGCTTTCCATCACCCCGCCCCATTCTCCCTCTTTCAATCAACCCGCCCCATTCTCCCGCTTTCCATCACCCCGCCTCATTCTCCCGCTTTCCATCACCCCGCCCCATTCTCCCGCTATACATCACCCCACCCCATTCTCCCGCTTTCCATCACACCGCCCCATTCTCCCGCTTTCCATCACCGCGCCCCAAGAATTGACGACACAGCGTCGGTTTGAACGAACGGTACTATGGCAGCCACTATAGTCTTAGAACACAAGATAGGAAGAGTTACGAGTTGGGAATGACTCCCATCTCCTACAAACCCCAAGAGCCGAGGTACAGTGATGTGGAACAGTGCCACACTGTCCCCAACCACGAAGGGTCTCGAAACTACCCTTCACTAGGGCCTACACCAAGTGAAATGTTACACTACACAAAGTAATGTAACTATCTTCAATATCTTGAGGTGTACCCTTTTGGCAAGCTTCGAAATCACTTGAGGCTTGACACCAAGGCTCGGGCTCTTCATCACAAACTCATCCTTGAGTTCTTGATGGGTCTGCTGCACACACCTGCGACACGCCGAACGTTCGACACAGGACAAAATAGAAACCGCGCACGACAAAATAGAAACCGCGCGCGAGACACAAACGACCGCGTAACACGCGTCTAGCGATAACTCGCTATTGACTCGACACACACACTCGACATCATGACTCAACATTCACAAACAATTATAAGCATGAAATATATATTATCCCATGCCCTCATACCATTCCATACACACACACATTCACGCACACGGACAACAAGCCGAGTGCAAACCGTAGGGTTGCACCAACACTGCCCACAAATGCTAAGGAAGCGCATTGATCCCTGTAAGCGTAAGGAAAAGCATCAAACGACCCGAATATTGTTGCATATTCGGGTGGCCCATGTTCAAATACACCTTCCATAGCAACTTCAGATTGGTTCGCGCGCACAGAAAAGTTCGGCGCCAGCGATGACGGCCGTGCCTGCCCACAAATGCTAAGGAAGCGCATTGATCCCTATAAGCGTAGGGAATGGCATCAAACGACCCATATTTTGTTGCATATTCGGGTGGACCATGTTCAGACTTCCACAGCAACTTCAGCTTGGTTCGCACTCACAGAAAAGTCCGGCGCCCACGATGACGGCCGTGCCTGCCCACAAATGCTAAGGAAGCGCATTGATCCTTATACGCATAGGGAAAAGCATCCAACGACCCGAAAATTGTTGCATATTCGGGTGGCCCATGTTCAAATAAACCTTCCATAGCATCTTCGGCTTGGTTCGTGCGCACAGAAAGGTTCGGCGCCCGCGATGACGGTCGTGCCTGCCCACAAATGCTAAGGAAGCGCATTGATCCCTATAAGCGTAAAGAAAGCATCCAATGACCCAAATTTTGTTGCATATTCGGGTGGCCTATGTATAGATACACCTTCAAGAGAAACTTGAGATTGGTTAGCGCGCACCGAAAAGTTCGGCGCCAGCGATGTGGGCGTGCCTCCCCACAAATGCTAAGGAAGCGCATGGATCCCTTTCAGCGTAAGGAAAATCATCCAACGACTCGAATTTTGTTGCATATTCGGGTGGCCCATATTCAAATACACCTTACAGAACAACTTCAGCTTCGTTCGCGCGCACAGAAAGGTTCGGCGCCTGCGATGACGGCCGTGCCTGCCGACAAATGCTAAGGAAGCGCATGGATCCCTATAAGCGTAAGGAAAAGCATCGAACGACCCGAATATTGTTGCATATTCGGGTGGCCCATGTTCAAATACACCTTCTAGAGCAACTTCAGCTTGGTTCGCGAGCACAGAAAAGTTTGGCGCCTGCGATGACGGCCGCGCCCGCAATGACGGCCTTGCCTGCCGACAAATGCTAAAGAAGCGCATGGATCCCTATAAGCGTAAGGAGAAGCATCGAACGACCCGAATATTGTTGCATATTCAAGTGGCCCATGTTCAAATACACCTTCCAGAGCAACTTCAGCTTGGTTCGCGCGCACAGAATAGTTCGGCGCCCGCGATGACGGCCGTGCCTGCCCACAAATGCTAAGGAAGCGCATTGATCCCTTTAAGCGTAAGAAAAGTGTCAGAATCCCAGCCACTAACCACTGGGATAAAAGGGCTTGTTTGCGTAGCGGGTGAGTGCGCCCATAACCCCCCAGGCCGACGTGCATGTAACCCTTCCCTAGGATCAATCGGGGATCACCAGTGGACCTCTGACAGAAAGGCATCGAAAGACCCGAATTTTGTTGCATATTCGGGTGGCCCATGTTCAAATACACCTTCCAGAGCAACTTCAGCTTGGTTCGCGTGCAAGAAAAGTTCGACGCCCGCGATGACGGCCGTGCCTGCCCACAAATGCTAAGGAAGCGCATTGATCCCTATAAGCGTAAGGAAAAGCATCCAACGACCCCAATATTGTTGCATACTCGGGTGGCCCATCTTCAAATACACCTTCCATAGCAACTTCAGCTTGGTTCGCGCGCACAGAAAATTTCGGCGCCCGCGATGATGGTCGTTCCTGCCCACAAATACTAAGCAAGCGCATTGATCCCTATAAGCGTAGGGAAAAGCATCGAACGACCCGAACATTGTTGCATATCTGGGTGGCCCATGTTCAAATACACATTCCAGAGCAACTTTAGCTTGGTTCGCGCGCACAGAAAAGTTCGGCGCCTGCGATGACGGCCGTGCCTGCCCACAAACACTAAGGAAGCGCGTGGATCCCTATAAGCGTAAGGAAAAGCGTCCAACGAACCAAATTTTGTTGCATATTCAGGTGGCCCATGTTCAAATACACATTTTAGAGCAACTTCAGATTGGTTCGCGCGCGCAGAAAGGTTCGGCGCCCGCGATGACGGCCGTACCTTCCCACAAATGTTAAGGAAAGCGCATGGATCCCTGTAAGCGTTAGGAAAAACATCGAACGGCCCGAATATTATTGCATACTCGGGTGGCCCATGTTCAAATACACCTTCCAGAGCAACATCGGCTTGATTCGCACGCACAGAAATGTTTGGCGCCCGCGATGACGCCCGTGCCTGCCCACAAATGCTAAGGAGGCGCATTGATCCCTATAAGCGTAAGGAAAAGCATTGAACGACCCGAATATTGTTGCATACTCTGGTGGCTCATGTTCAAATACACCTTCCAGAGCAACATCAGCTTGGTTCGCACGCACAGGAAAGTTCGGCGCCTGCGATGAAGGCCGTGTCTGCCCACAAATACTAAGGGAGCGCATTAATCTCTATAAGCGTAGGGAAAAACATCAAACGACCCGAACATTGTTGCATATTCAAGTGGCCCATGTTCAAATACACCTTCTAGAGCAACTTCAGCTTGGTTCGCGCGCACAGAAAAGTTCGGCGCCCGCGATGACGGCCGTGCCTGCCCACAAATGCTAAGGAAGCGCATTGATTCCTATAAGCGTAAGGAAAAGCATCGAACGACCCGAATTTTGTTGCATATTCGGGTGGCCCATGTTCAAGTACACCTTCCAGGGCAACTTCAGCTTGGTTCGCGCGCAAGAAAAGTTCGGCGCCCGCGATGACGGCCGTGCCTACCCACAAACGCTAAGGACGCGCATTGATCCCTATAAGCGTAAGGAAAACATCGAACGACCCGAATTTTGTTGCATATTCGGGTGGCCCACGTTTAAATACACCTTCCAGAGCAACTTCAGCTTGGTTCGCGCGCACAAAAAGTTCGGCGCCCGCGATGACGGCCGTGCCTGCCCACAAATGCTAAGGAAGCGCATTGATCTTTATAAGCGTAGGAAAAAGCATCGAACGCCCCAAATTTTGTTGCATATTTGGGAAAAGGGAGATGAGAGTAGGGAGAAGGGTGATGAGAGTAGGGAGACGGGTGATGAGATGAGAGTACGGAAAAGGGTGATGAGAGCAGGGAGAAGGGTGATGAGAGTAGGGAAAAGGGTGATGAGAGTAGGGAGAAGGGTGATGAGAGTAGGGCGAAGGGTGATGAGAGTAGGGAGAAGGGTGATGAGACTAGGGAGAAGGGAGATGAGAGTAGGGAGAAGGGTGATGAGAGTAGGGAGAAGGGTGATTATAGTAGGGAGAAGGGAGATGAGAGTAGGGAGAAGGGTGATGAGAGAAGGGAGAAGGGTGATGAGAGGAGGGAGAAGAGTGATGAGAGTAGGGAGAAGGGTGATGAGAGTAGGGAGAAGGGTTATGAGATTAGGGAGAAGGGTGATGAGAGTAGGGAGAAGGGTGATGAGAGTAGGGAGAAGGGAGATGAGAGTTGGGAGAAGGGTGATGAGAGTAGGGAGAAGGGTGATGAGAGTAGGGAGAAGGGTGATGAGAGAAGGGAGAAGGGTGATGAGAGGAGGGAGAAGAGTGATGAGAGTAGGGAAAAGGGTGATGAGAGTAGGGAGAAGGGTGATGAGAGTAGGGAGAAGGGTGATGAGATGAGGGAGAAGGGTGATGAGAGTAGGGAGAAGCGTGATGAGAGTAGGAGAAGGGTGATGAGAGTAGGGAGAAGGGTGATGAGAGTAGGGAGAAGGGTGATGAGAGTAGGGAGAAGGGTGATGAGAGGAGGTAGAAGGGTGATGAGAGTAGGGAGAAGGGTGATGAGAGTAGGGAGAAGGGTGATGAGAGTAGGGAGAAGGGTGATGAGAGTAGGGAGTAGGGTGATGAGAGTAGGGAGAAGGGTGATGAGAGTAGGGAGAAGGGTGATGAGAGTAGGGAGAAGGGTGATGAGAGTAGGGAGAAGGGTGATGAGAGTAGGGAGAAGGGAGATGAGAGTTGGGAGAAGGGTGATGAGAGTAGGGAGAAGGGTGATGAGAGTAGGAAGAAGGGGGATGAGAGTAGGGAGAAGGGTGATGAGAGTCGGGAGAAGGGTGATGAGATAGGGAAAAGGGTGATGAGAGTAGGGAGAAGGGAGATGAGAGTTGGGAGAAGGGTGATGAGAGTAGGGAGAAGGGTGATGAGAGTAGGGAGAAGGGTGATGAGATGAGAGTAGGGAGAAGGGTGATAAGATAAGGGAGAAGGGTGATGAGAGTAGGGAGAAGGGTGATGAGAGTAGGGAGAAGGGTGATGAGATGAGAGTAGGGAGAAGGGTGATGAGATAAGGGAGAAGGGTGATGAGAGTAGGGAGAAGGGTGATGAGGGTAGGAAGAAGGGTGATGAGAGTAGGGAGAAGGGTGATGAGAGTAGGGAGAAGGGTGATGAGAGTAGGAAGAAGGGTGATGAGAGTAGGGAGAAGGGTGATGAGAGTAGGGAGAAGGGTGATGAGAGTAGGGAGAAGGGTGATGAGAGTAGGGAGAAGGGTGATGAGAGTAGGGAGAAGGGTGATGAGAGTAGGAAGAAGGGTGATGAGAGTAGGGAGAAGGGTGATGAGAGTAGGGAGAAGGGTGATGAGAGTAGGGAGAAGGGTGATGAGAGTAGGGAGAAGGGTGATGAGAGTAGGGAGAAGGGTGATGAGATTAGGGAGAAGGGTGATGAGAGTAGCGAGAAGGGTGATGAGAGTAGGGAGAAGGGTGATGAGAGTATAGAGAAGGGTGATGAGAGTTGGGAGATGGGTGATGAGAGTAGGAAGAAGGGTGATGAGAGGAGGGAGAAGGGTGATGAGAGTAGGGAGAAGGGTGATGAGAATAGGGAGAAGGGTGATGAGAGTAGGGAGAAGGGTGATGAGAGTAGGGAGAAGGGTGATAAGAGTAGGGAGAAGGGTGATGAGAGTAGGGAGAAGGGAGATGAGAGTTGGGAGAAGGGTGATGAGAGTAGGGAGAAGGGTGATGAGAGGAGGGAGAAGGGTGATGAAAGTAGGGAGAAGGGTAATGAGAGTAGGGAGAAGGGTGATGAGAGTAGGGAGAAGGGTGATGAGAGAAGGGAGAGGGGTGATCCGCACATGTGCAGGAAGTGCAGCAGACGCTCTTCATTTGCGAGCGCCGATGACCGATGATGCTCGCAACCCTCCCACGCCCTTGCTGGCTTGGCAATAGGCCCAGACTTGTGCGGCGACGTGACCCGACGGAAGAAATTTTCTCGGAACGAGCGCTTCCACCCCCAAAACGCGGAAGGATCCGCACATGTGCAGGAAGTGCAGCGGGCGCTCTTCATTCGCGAGCGCCGACGACCGATGATGCTCCCAACCCTTCCACGCCCTTGCTGGCTTGGAAATAGGCCCAGACGAGCAAAGCCACATGACAGGGGCGGAATAAAAACGCTCGAAACGAGCGTTTCCAACCCCAAAACGCGGAAGGATCCGCACATGTGCAGGAAGTGCAGCGGGCGCTCTTCATTCGGGAACGCCAATGACTGATGATGCTCGCAACCCTTCCACGCCCTTGCTAGCTTGGCAATAGGCCCAAACAAGCGCGGCGACGTAACCCGACGAAAGAAAAATTCTAGGAACGAGCGCTTCCAGCCCCAAAACGCTGAAGGATCCGCACATGTGCAGGAAGTGCAGCGGGCGCTCTTCATTCACGAGCGCCGACAACCGATGATGCTCCCAACCTCCCACGCCCTTGCTGGCTTGGAAATAGGCCAAGACAAGCAAAGCCACGTGACAGGGGCGGAATAAAAACGCTCGGAACTAGCGTTTCCAGCCCCAAAACGTGGAAGGATCCGCACATCTGCACGAAGTGCAGCGGGCGCTCTTCGTTTGCGAGCGCCGATGACCGATGATACTCGCAACCCTCCCACGCCCTTGCTGACTTGGCAATAGGCTCAGACAAGCGCAGCCAGGTGACATGGCGGAAACAAAACGCTCGGAACGAACGCTTCCAGCCCCAAAACGCGGAAGGATCCGCACATCTGCAGGAAGTGCAGCGGGCGTTCTTCATTCGCGAGCCCCAATGACCGATGATGCTCGCAACCCTCCCACGCCCTTGTTGGTTTGGCAAATAGGCCCAGACAAGCGCAGCCACGTGACTCGGCGGAAAAAAAACGCTCGGAACGAGCGCTTCCAGCCCCAAGACGCGGAAGGATCCGCACATGTGCAGGAAGTGCAGCGGGCGCTCTTCATTCGCGAGTGTGATGACCGATGATGCTTGCAACCCTCCCACGCCCTTGCTGGCTTGGTAATAGGCCCAGACAAGCGCAGCCACGTGACCCGGCGGAAGAAAAACTCTCGGAACGAGCGCTTCCAGCCCCAAAATGTGGAAGGATCTGCAAATGTGCAGGAAGTGCAGCGGGCGCTCTTCATTCGCGAGCGCCGATGACCGATGATTCCCGCAACCCTCACACGCCTTTGCTGGCTTGGTAATAGGGCCAGACAAGCGCAGCCACGTGACCCGGCGGAAGAAGAACGCTCAGAACGAGATCTTCCACCTCCAAAAAGCGGAAGGATTCGCACATGTGTAGGAAGTGCAGCGGGCGCTATTCATTCGCGAGCGCTGATGACCGATGATGCTCGCAACCCTCCCACGCCTTTGTTGGCTTGGTAATAGGCCCAGACAAACGCAGCCACGTGACCCGGCGGAAGAAAAACGCTCAAACCAACGCTTCCACGCCCAGAACGCGGAAGGATCCGCACATGTGCAGGAAGTGCAGCAGGCGTTTTCATTTGCGAGTACCAATGACTGATCATGCTCGTCGCCCTTCCACGCTCGTGCTGGCTTGGTAATAGGTCCAAACGCACACAGCCACGTGACCCACCGAAAGAAAAACACTCGGAACGAGCGCTTTCAGCCAAAAAATGCGAGAGAATCCGTACATGTGCATAAATGCTGCTGGCATTTTTTATTCGTGGGTACCAATGACCGATTATGTTCGCCACCCTCCCACGCTCTTGCTGGCTTGCAATATGTCAAAACGTGCATAACCACGTTACCCGCGTGACCTAGAAGGACCTACACTGTGGATCCTCGATTGATCCTAGGGATGTGTTACAGGTGCGTTCGCCTGGGGGGGTATGGTATGGGTGCACGGACCCGCTACTCAACAAGCCCTTTTATCCAAGTGGGCTAGTGACTGGAATTCTGACAACCCTACCTCCAATCCTTTTCCCAGCTGTACTCCTGCTTTGCTCGTGGTATTCCCACGTTTGCTTGTCTTCCTCATGTAGACTTGTCATGTTTTCTCCGCTCACGCCTTCTGCAATTCTTGCTCCCTTTCTGGACCTCTTCCTTTGATACCCTTCATTGACCAACTCGCGACGCATTCCCTATGTCACCTCTCATTAATTCCCCGGCCCAAATCTCTTTCGGCTACGCTGATCTACCAGCTTTTCTTGCTACGCTTAGGATACGTGTGACATAGTTCATAAGTTTTTTCGTCCAAGGGAAACATACGGCAACAAAAATGTAAGTCAGGTGTTCATTTTAAAAAGATCATGGTCTACTTTTCAGGCTTGCTCATTAGAACACAGGCGATGCTTTTGGGGCGTACTAACCGAATTAGTGCCTGCTGCTTGCACTTCTTATCGCGCACCTGAATTTCCTTGTTGCTCGCACGCTGCATGCTCTGATTCAGCTTGTCCTCTGCACTTGTTTCCTAACTTCGCCATCATTAACGTATCAGCGTCCTCTTTATACTTTCCCCGCCAATAGTACTCCCTTCGCGCTTAGGCGGTTAATCCTCCGCATGGAGCCCGTTCCCGCAGACGTTCTTGCTGCGCCCGCCAGCGGCGGGGCAGGCGGCGGAGATCTCGAGGCGGAGTTGGCGGAGATCGGCGCGCAGCTGGAGGCGGTGGCGGCTGTGCGCGACGACCTGCGCGCGGCGGTGCAGCGGATGGACGGGCTGACGCGGCAGCTGCAGTCGGACCTGCTGGGCGTGCATCGGCGGCAGGAAGGCGCAGGTGGGTGGAGGCGAGAGCATGAGCGGAAGCTGGGGGGTGCAGGTGAGACGGGAGGGCGGAGCGACCATCGGCGCGCAGCGGATGGACGGACTGACGCGGCAGGTACAGTCGGACCTGCTGAGCGTGCATCTGCGGCAGGAAGGCGCAGGTGCGTGCGGGGACGGAGAGACCATGAGGAAGAGACGAGCGGGCGGTGCGAGCATGGGCGCGCCTGATGCAGCAGCTACAGTCGCGGATCTTTTAGTCGATTCCGGGATAGTGGCGCTCTGTCGCAGTGAAACGTTGGAGGTAGTGTGTTAATAAGATTGCGCCCTTCCCTTCCTCTGAACCACTGTCACTCTTCTCTTCCGCAATCCCCGTTTCCTCACCCCCTCCCCTCCCCCCGCAGTGCAGCAGGCGGTGCAGAAGGCGCGGGAGAGCGTGCCAAAGCTGCAGGCGGCGTATGCTGAGCTGGCAGCAATCATTGCTCGCCGCCCGGGCGAGTTCTACAGGTGCGTGTGCTGTCAATCCCTGCCGCGTGGCTTTAGTAAGCAAAGATTAATCGCCAGGTTTTTTGTTTCGTCGCCAATTGATCAACATGCGGCATGTCTCAAAAGAATTATGCTTCAGGTGAATACACATGGCTGGTGTTTGAATGGGATTAGCATTCATGGCTCTGTGCGTCCTGTTTCTCTGGCTTATATAGAGTATGAATTGTAGATTCGCTCCGTCTTGCTGAATGTTTTCTCCCAACCAACAGGTTCAGCGACCACTGGCGCAGTCAGAACCACACGGTGGTGTCCCAGCTGGCGTTCGCTCATTGGCTGGACTCTGGAACGCTGCTCTCGCACAAGCAACTAGAGGAGCAGCTACAGTGTAGGCCACTGTAGAATCTGTTTAGATACTGTATAAGCTACTGTAGACTCTGTTTAAGATTTCTGGTATCGGGCTTTTGAATGAGGGCAGTTCTTAGAGAGCCTTTTCATGGTTTCTCTGAAAGGCCCTCCCCGTACACTCAGTGTCTCAAAGGCCCTCCCCGTACACTCAGTGTCTCAAAGATCAGGCTCCCCACCACTGTCCTCCCGTCCCCCTCCCTCTCTCACCCCACCCATGGTGCGTGTCTCGCAGTGCGGGCATCATCGTTCAGCATCGATTAAGAGGACTATCTCACCGGCCTCGTGTTAGAGTTGACTCAAAAGTCCTCCCCTCCCACCACCCCCCCCTCTCCTCCTCTCCTCTTTGCGTGTCCTTCAGTGCGGGCAGCATCGTTCAGCATAGATCTAGAGGAATATCTCACCAACCTCCGCGTCTTGAGTCGACCCAAAAGTTCTCCTTTCCACCCCCCCCCCCCTGCATGTGTCGCAGTGCGGGCATCATCGTTCAGCATAGATCTAGAGGACTATCTCACCGGCCTCTGCGGTCTCTCCAATGAATTTGTGAGCTCCACGCTCCTTTACACTCCTCCACCCTCCTCCACCCTCCTCCACCCTCCTCCACCCTCCTCCACCCTGTTCCACCCTCCCCATCCCCACGTGCTCCCCGTCCGCCCACGTGTGCTCTAATGCCGTCTCATTCCTCGTCTTTGCCGTGTCTCCATCCTATCACCATCGCGTTTGTTGCTGCCTGTGTTGCTGCATTTCTCAGTGACCCCTTTCGCAGCCTCTCTGCCCAAGCCATAGCGTCACTCTCCCCCCTCCTCTCGTTCTTTCCCCCTCCCCCCCGGCCTCAGCCTCGCTTTGTGATGAACAGGGTGACAGCGGGCGACTACGCTGTCCCGCGAGTGGCGGCTGCATTCCTCAACGATCTCTTTGCTGCCTTCCGCAAGCTCAATCTGCGCAACGACATGCTCCGCAAGCGATTCGACGGTGGGTGATTAGATGGGGCGATGTTAGATTCGATCTGGCTGGTGCGCGTGTGACTGCCTCATCCCTGCCTTTGCCAAGCTCTCAGCCTTGGCACGAAGGTGAAGGAGGGGGTGATACATCACGTGGAGATAAGGCCAGGGGGCTGACCAGGAGTGCATCTGTCTAAGCTCTTTCTAATTCGCTCTCTCTTTCTGTGTGCCCCCGATCCGTCCATGTCTTCCACATGCCTCCTGCTGTGGCGTGCCCTGCAGGCAAAAGTACGACCGGAAAAAGGTGGAGGAGGTGGTGTATGAGGTGCAGATACGAGGGCTGGTGGTG